CCATGTTTCCTGTTTCTTCAGGATGGAAATGGTTTGTTTCCAATGATGGCTTACCCCGAGAATCAGGACCTAAACATTTGGAAATTCTGTTTTCCCTGCTTCTTGTCTCTTTCTTTCCCTTAAAGTAAATATTTTTCAAAAATGTGCTCAGTATTTTAATAAAATTATTGGATAAATTTCAGAGCTACAAACATATTTTAGGAATAAAGTTATTATCAAGTCCTAATTTTGTTTCCAAACTTAGAGGGTAGAACAAATTTGCATGGCGTTAGCTCAGAAATTTAGCAAAAGTATGATTTTAATATGAAGGTAAAAATAACTCATAGAAAGAATTATGTAAGCAAAAGAAGCACAAATAATATGAACATATTAATAACGATTTAACAATACTTTTTCAAAGTTTCACTTGAAACTTAATTCATATACCATACACTTGATTTTATTAAATATATTTCTTCTGATTATGAAAGCAAACATTCTCATAGTAGAAAATGTGGAAGATATCCCACCTTGACCGCCACGCTCCATGGTCACAGCCACTGACCTGGCCCAAACCACCATCTTCATCCACTGGGGCAGAGCCTCGGCTTCCTCATCATCACCTCACTTTTGTCCTTGCCTTCTGCCTCTGTTCTCAGCACAGCTGGCTCAATGAATCTGTTAGAATGGGTCAGGTCATGTGGCTGGATTCAACATGCTTTGGCGCCTTCCTTTTCACACAAGGGCAGAGCTAAAATTCTTACTGTGGCCTCAGGCCCTATTCAGTGCAGCCCCTTGCAGCGTCTCTGGCGCACCCATCTATTTTTCTCTCCAACCGCACTAATCTGTGCTATTTTGCAAACACACTAGGCATGCTCCCACTTCAGGACCTTTGCTCTCTGTATCCTCTAGCTCAGTGGTTCCCAACCTTTTTCTGGCCGTCTCACCTAAACATCTCTAAAATCCTGATGCCCTCCCCTGTGACATACCATTCTTACTATTCAAAAAGTGAACTCCTATTCACATGAAGGGAGCCTAAAAGGCCAAAGAATATGGCATCCATGCAAGAGAAAATAAAAGAACAAAAGGACAGTTGAAGTAGTGAGGAAGAAATCACTAAGAAATTGTTTAAAATAATAATAATAATATGAAGTGATATGAAAAAATAGCAAATAAACTTTCAAAACATATACTAGAGAATGAAATGCATAAATATGTCACAGTATATATTTATAAACTGTATATGAGGCCCCTAGTCTAGGACCATAAGAAATGTGAAAAATTTACTGTTAATTACTCATTCTGGAATTGCCCCTTCTTAAAAATCAAATTGTCCCCCTGTGGGGTGTGAGCCTCATGTTGGGAACCACTGCTGTAGCTGGATTGCACTTCCTCCAGATGCCTACGTGGTTAGCTCCTCACTTTCTTCAGGTCAAATTCAAAGGTCATCTTATTTTAGTATTCCTTAGCTACCTTATTAATGGATCATTTACGTGGACAAAAAAAAAAATCATTAAGAATTTGGCAAAGGTAGCCTTGGAGAAAGTGACGGGTGGTCAGAAACTAACATCTCCAAGAAATAAAGAGAAATGACGTGGGCATCCAGAGATGAATATAGCCGGAGGAGACATAGTGTGAATACAGGACTTCAAAGCTTGCAGATGGTGGAGTTTAGAAAGGCAGAAGGAACACTGATCTGCAATGACGAGACGATGAGAACCAGTGGACACTTCCTCTTCCCCCAGGTCCTAGAGTGTAAAGGGGTTCTGGCGATGCAGGAGATAAATCTGTTACCTTTGGCAGAGGACAGGGGGTGAAGTGTTATCAGAGGAGAAACAATTTTCGTTAGCACCAAGTGAGGAAGCGTATGGAAAAGAGTTGGAGGAAGTAGAGTGATGACTGTAAGCTCCAAAGGGCACACTTGGAGGGCTTTGTGAGTAATGGTGCATTAAGAGATGGGTTCAGTAGTTGTATACCACAGTATGGAAATGAGGGACTGAGCAATTAGACATGGATGTTGGATGAAGTCAGGGACAAAGGGCATGGTGGGATTAGTGTGGATGGCCCTTCATTGGGACATTGTGAGCACTCTACCAGCAAGTTCCTGTCCTGCTATCAGATCTATTGAAAACTATAACTCCTGCCAATATATTTTTAATTCATCTGTCATTTTCAAACATCAGGTGATTAGATCATTTGCACAGAATGTTTGCTTAGCTAGATAATTAATGAGAAATTTATTTACTTTCCATCCAACTATTGTATGTTCAACTTGAATAATTTGTATATACAGAGAACAATCATTTCTAGCTATCTAAAATTTTAAAGTTGAAAGAAAAGAAACAAAACCACTGTTATGTCATGTTCTTAGGTAACCATTCAAGTCACGATACCATCATAGGGCATTTGGTTAAACAAGAAAATCTAAAAACAAATTATAACACTTAAAAATCTCACATAAAAGTGTAATATTGTTAAATTGGGCAGAAAATTATTCTATTGAAATGTCATATTAACAATTTCCAAGACACTATTCTTAAGGCTTTATTTCTCTGAAATCAGGTTGTAAAATATGAGGAGGGAAGCCTCTGAGTTGTTTAGTTTTTATCTGGAAACCTAACATTTAGATGCACGAATACAGGACATATAAAATTGGCAAATGATTTTTTTCATCTTCTATGAACATACTCTTCCAAAACTGAACACACTTCCCCCTGCTCCCCACTTTCTCTTACTGTTTTTTTTTTTATCCCAGTTTCTCCTTATTCATCTTGAGTGAATCTGCTCAAGATGACATCAAGTAAGAATGATTATTTAACTGATAGTTATTAATTAGCAAACACTTGTAAATAGTTATTAGGGTAAGCTGCTTTGTTCCTTTAATATGCCAATAATGTAAGTAAAAGAAAGAAGAAAAAAGAAGGGAATGGGAAGGAAAAAAAAAAGTCGAAGTAAAAGATTAGCGACTTAACCAATAGAGTTTAGTTGAATGCATACTTAAACTTCATAGTGAAAAATACATTCTTTTGGTAAATTTTAATTATAAGTAAAATGTTGCTTAGTTCAATAACCTAGTTTTAGTCTACTGTTTGTTCTTTCATTAAATGGGTCTGGGTATCTATTTTTTTTTTTAAATATGCTTTTATTGACTTCAGAGAGGAAGGGAAAGGGAGAGAGAAGTAGAAACATCAGTGATAAGAGTCATTAACTGGCTGCCTCCTATACAACTCCTATGGGGGATGGAGCCCACAACCTGGGCATGTGGGCTGACAGGGAATCAAACTGGGACCTCCTGGTTCATAAGTTGATTTTCAACCCCTGAACCACGCCAGCTGGGCCTGGGTATCTATTGAAATAAATCTTATGATTTATATCATATGAATATGTTTCTTCCTGGGAAAAGAAGTTAGAAAAGGGTTTTTGGAATAGGTGTTTTAAACTTATTAAAATATTCATTTTACTTCCTAAATATTCTATTCATCCAATTTTAGTTTTAGATAAATTTAGATTTCTATGTGACCTTGGTCTATACTGTCATCCTAGAGGGAATGGGAAGGATGAAAAGGAAGGCAAACTCCTAGGATTCTAAGGCTTGTTTTATTTTTTTTAGCAGTTTCACAATATATTAGTAATGTCGGGTTATTCATTGATTGCCATAAATTTAGATTCTTTCTCCAAACTGCCATCTATCTATCTACCTATCTATCTATCATCTCTACTATATAATGTTGCAAAAATACTGCAAATTTCATAACTTAGCTGATAATTGCAGAATCATATAGTAACAAAAGGGACATTTCTAAACGGGGTCCCGTGAAGCTTTGAGGTTCCTTAGTGAGGCCTGAGAAGGAGGCTAGTAAAAGGATGCAACTCTGTTTTTAAAAGTTTACTTTTCTCTGTTTTATAAATTGAGATTGCATGAGAAAAGATTATAATGGATTTCAGAGTTTGAAAAGGAAAAATGAGCTCCAGTCCCTGCCCACAGCACACCCTAACGCTCCAGTTCCCTGGGCTCCCAGCTCAGCCTCTTTCCTCTATGCACTGCCTTCTTACTGCCCACCTTGGTAAAATATTAAAAACCCTAATACTTCAGGCCACAATGACATTCCAGTTGGTGCCATTACTCAAAACATTCTGCATTCTTATATGAAAATTCAAAGCTTAATGCTCTTGACAATAGTTTATCTGAATTGATCTTTTCTGGGTTAGTAAAAAAAAAAAAAAAAAAAAAAAAGGAACTGTACTAGTAATTGAGACATCAGGTCATATTCCAGCTTTAATGGTTTTATGAACGAAGCCTCAATTCCTTGCTAATAAAATTGTCATGTCTTCCTTATAAAGAATCATGTTGCTATTATCGATGGCAAAATGTTAAATGAAACAATGCATGGAATATATGTGTAAGTGCTTTGCAAAGTGGAAGTAAAGGTATATATATATATATATATATATATATATATATATAATTCCTTTCCACTATAATCAATTATAAAGTAAAAAAATATTTTTAAAATGTTCTCAAATGCAAAAATAGAATATTACTTCTGTACAAGAGACACATTAAAATATTTCACTTTTCTTTTTCCACTAAGGCATTCCAATTCTAAGCTTTTGGGCAATTTGTATCTACCCTTGAGAATATGACCTCCCTTACAAAACTTCCATACATTAAAGCATGTGAAAAATTCAACATTTGGTCTTCTCTGACTTATGTTCAGCTTTTCATTTCTAGCACAGTATCTGACATCAAGTAGATGTTAAAAAATTATTAAACTCAACTATTGAACAAGATTTAGAAATAAAGCCCTTTCCAAATAATTATTGTTCAGTAAGAAGTAATAGGTAACTGTGTTGGAAGTGAGAGAAATCAAATTGCCAATGATTCACTCTTTTTTATTTTTTCCCCCTCCCAGGTTTTTTGGGATAGCCATATGGGAATAAAAGATGGAACTGTAACCTGACTCAAAGGAAGATTCAACACACAAAGGAAAACATAAACTGGTGGACAGCCTTCAGGAGCGATGCCCTTTTGCCACAAAATAATGAACATTTCCTGTATGAACAGCACCTGGTCAAATGATGTCCGTGCTTCCCTGTATAGTTTAATGGTGCTCATAATTCTGACCACAATGGCTGGCAATCTCATAGTTATTATTTCCATATCACACTTCAAGCAACTTCATACCCCCACAAATTGGCTCATCCATTCCATGGCCACGGTGGACTTTCTGCTGGGCTGCTTGGTCATGCCTTGTAGCATGGTGAGATCCGTTGAGCACTGCTGGCCTTTTGGGGAAGTCTTCTGCAAAATCCACACCAGCACCGACATCATGCTGAGCTCGGCATCCATCTTCCACCTGTCCTTCATTTCCATTGACCGGTACTACGCTGTGTGTGACCCGCTGCGGTACAAAGCCAAGATCAGCATCGTGGTTATTTTTGTGATGATCTTCATCAGCTGGAGCGTCCCTGCCCTTTTTGCATTTGGGATGATCTTCTTGGGGCTAAACTTCAGAGGAGCTGAGCAGGTGTATTACGAACACACCCACTGCGTAGGGGGTTGTTCCGTCTTCTTTAGCAAAACACCCGGGGTTCTGGCCTTCATGACTTCTTTCTACATACCTGGGTCTATTATGTTGTATGTCTATTATAGGATATACTTCATAGCTAAAGGGCAGGCAAGATCCATTCACAATGCACACCAGAAGCTTCAAATTGGATTGGAAGAGAAAAGTGGAATTTCACGAAACAAAGAACGCAAAGCTGCGAAGACTTTAGGGATCGTGATGGGAGTTTTCCTCCTTTGCTGGTGTCCTTTCTTTATCTGCACAGTCATGGATCCTTTCCTGGACTACACTATCCCGCCCACCTTGAATGATGCATTGATTTGGTTTGGCTACTTGAACTCTACTTTTAACCCAATGATTTATGCATTTTTCTATCCCTGGTTCAGAAGAGCGTTGAAGATGATTCTATTTGGTAAAATTTTCCAAAAAGATTCATCTAGGTGTCAATTATTTTTAGAATCAAATCCATAGAATTATAATACCTTACTGTTTTGCAAAACAGCTGGTGACGATATTTATGAACACCACATGCACCAAGTGTATTGTCTTTAAGTCAGTGACTTGATTTAAAGAATGTCTAATGAAGTAGGATGATTATCTCCTACTTCCTACTTGGGATGTAGTACATATAACCTCTGCCATTCTTACCATACATAGGAAGCTTTGCAAGTCCAGAATTTAAGGTACTACATTTAAAAAAGCTTTTCCTGTTTTTTTCATGTACCACCACGGAATTGAAAGTGGTCCTTTACTCAGTTATTCAGCAGTAGAAACCATAAGCTGCACTGGAAATGCAAATTAGAGTTCTTTGTCATATATTTGCTTAAATATGTATAGTTTTTTGTGTTGTTGTTTTTTGTAAAATCAGCTAAAATTGCACATAAATGTTATTTATTAAATAATTATATATATTTTGCCATTTACCACAAATTCTTAATATATATTCTAATTATTTTTTACATTTATTTTTTATTTTTTTACTGTTTGTATTCTAATTTTTAAATATCTCCATTTTCATCTCTTGAATATAGGTATTCCTAATTCTCATACTTGCAGGAAATTCGCAAAATTAAGAAAAAATATCATAAAGCAACATAAGGAAGAAAAATATCACTACAGCTCACTTCCTGAAATAACTATATTATTTAAAAAATTTAAAAACATTTTGAATGATTATATATTTCATTGTATATTTTTAGCTATTTCCCTATTATTGATTGCATAGTTCTTTTTTAATTCCTTTTTATTAAAAAATAGAAATTAAATTTGTTTCTGCTCTGTTATCTGCTATTGAAGTTCATGAAAGTATCTGGAAGGATTTTAGCCATATTTCAAGATTATTCTTGGTTTGGCAGAACTCAAAATGTAAGCTACACAAAGTAAAACAAATTCACTCCCCAGGCTCCAGGCTGTCCAAAAGAGAGGCTGTCACTCATCAAAGCAGTGATACCGGAGGGATAATAAGAGGCATAATCAGAGTAGACGTGCCAAGCCTGTTAGGGTAACAAATACAAAAAGAGGGACAAATGGTGGTTTCAAATAAGATCCCCAGAAAGGAAGTGAGCAAACATTTTTTTTTTTAATATACATTTTATTGATTTTTTTACAGAGAGGAAGAGAGAGGGATAGAGAGTTGGAAACATCGATCAGCTGTGTCTCCTGCACACCTCCTACTGGGGATGTGCCCACAACCAAGGTACATGGCCCTTGACCGGAATGGAACCTGGGACCTTCCGTCCGCAGGCCCACACTCTATCCACTGAGCCAAACCACTCAGGGCATGAGCAAACATTCTAAATGATGAGCAGGGATCTGCCATGAGCTGTTTCTCAGTCAGAAGTCCCACCGTCTCTTTCTTGTTGGCAGCACCCGCGGCTTGGATTTATCTATTTACTAATACTGGCTTAAGCTGCTGAGTAAATTCAAACAAGGCAGCTAATTTTAAATGAAAGTTTCTGCATGTAAATTTCTGTTCACAAACCTGATGCTCTGAAGACGTCAAATCCTTTCATCTATCAGAGTCTGTTTCAGGACTACTCATTTCTTTCGTTGATCTGATTAGATTTTAGTTCTAGTTCATTTAAAAAACATTATGAGGTATCTTTTCATTTAGGCAGATTAAAGCAAGTTGCCCCTAATCACTCCAGTTTCAAAAACTCCTTTGGTTTTTGTTCACCTGTGAGACCATCTTGCCAAATTTAAAAAAGAGACTAAAAGCATTTAGACTTTTTTTTTTTTTCTGTACCTTACCACAAATTTCTGTGGTGGTCTTCATTTGTACCACACATTTAAGATTATTCCTAGGTGTTTTGTACCTTTGGGGGGAGTGTTTTGCCTACTGTGAATAAATCTTTTTTAATCCATTATATTTTCTATGTAGCCATTAGCGTTGGCACACAGTAAAACTTTATTTTTGCTCTTTCAGTTGATTTGTTTGGGTTTTCACGAGACTTAGTCATATTATCCTCAAGCAACTTCAGCTTTATCTCCTTTCCAATAGTTATGATTCTTATTTATATTTCTTGATGTACTTTATTAGTCAGAAATTTCTAGAACAATAGTGATAGCAGTCATCCTGTGTTACATTTATTTTAAATTACTCTCTAGGCTTTAATATTGAATCCTCATTTTTCTTGGGATAAATTCATGACCCAGATAATTCTACCTTTTTCACTTAGCCCGAAAGTCCTTATAGCCTGTATTTTTGTAGCCTGTTTTTCTTTAATGCTTCTAATAAGACATCACCCATAACCCACCCTCTCAGCAAAACAAAAAGAAAGACCTTGTTTTCCCATATTCCCACCTTTACCCTAGCTTCCATTTCCTCATACAGAATATATATATTTAAAATATGTTTTTATTAACTTCAGAGTGGAAAGGAGAGGGAGAGAGAGAAACATCAATGAGAGAATCATTGATCGGCTGACTCCTGCACACCCTCTACTGGGGATCAAACCTACAACCAGGGCATGTGCCTATGTGACTGGAATCGAATCTGGGACCCTTATTCCCCAGGTGAATGCTTTATCCACTGAGCCAAATTGACTAGGGTTATTACATTTTCTTTTAAAAGTTAGTGTAGAATTTACATTGTCCTCTTTCCTAATAAGTTTCACAACTACAACTAAGCAAAAGAACAGCAGAAGATTTACTCCAAGGTCTACACAGAAGAGAGTTAACCTGTCTGGCCCGTCTAGCTCAGTGGTTGAGTATTGACTTATAAACCAGGAGGTTGGGGTTCAATTCCCCATCTGGGCTCTATTCCCAATAGGGGGTGGGGAGTGCAGGAGGCAGAAGGCAGCTGGTTGATGATTCTCTCTTACTGATGTTTCTCTCTCTCCCTCTCTCTCTCTCTGAAATCTATAAAAACATATTTTTAAAAGTAAATAAATAAGCAGAAGGGAGTTAACCTGATGACACATTTTTGCACTGCTAGTCTGCCATGTGTCACATTTGCCACATAGTATGTTTAAGAGACTGGGAATTTTTATTTCTTTAAAAATAATTTATAGAAAATAACTACACATTTACATACACATACATAATATTGCTATTTATCTACAAAATAACTTACCTACCGAGCTAATGAATTCGATGAACACTCTGTGTAAGCCCTAAAGCACGTTAGCATAGGGTCCTGAGGCACCGAGGGACGGCCTCCAGCTTTGGAGTCACACAAGCCTCACACACAGCCTCGGTTCAAACCCCAGCATTCTGTAGTTCCTGTGTTTTCTCTCCTTTGTGCCTTTGCTCCTGCAGCCCCCAGTCCCTGCAATGCCCCCTCCCTCACTCCACCTCCCTTAACTGGCTGACATTCCTTGTCTCACAGCTCTCTTAAACTGTACTCCTGTTTGTTTTTTAAAATTGCTTTTTCTTTTTGGCTCTTTGAGTGATTTCCCCCCCCACCCTGTCTTCTAATTCACTGATCCAATCCTCGGCTTCTCCTAATCTGCTGTGTATTCATTCCAATGTGTTATTAGTGCTATGTCAGCCTTTATTTCTTTTTCACAGTTACTATAACTTTTCTCATGCTCTTGAGAATCTTTACCATCATTATTCTGAACTCTATATCAGGTCAATTTCCGATCTCCACGTCATTTATCTCTTCTTCTGGACAATTCTCTTATTATTTCATTTGGGGGTTGTGTTTTTTATTTCCCCATTTTGTCTGCCTCTTTGGATTTGTAAATATGTATTAGGTAGATCTGGTAGCCTCTAAATCTCTCGTGCAGGACAGTGTTAAATGATGAGATCAGGCAACGATTCAGTCTCCAGAGACCTGCCTATGACAGCAGACTGATTGGATTAACTTTTGAGAAGCCTTCAGCCAATTGTGCACAGGTGTGGAGAGAGGTTTTCCAACAGGGTGGGGCAATTGGTTCTGCCTGGAGGCTAATTGTCATTCTCGGTCTCTTACTGGGCCTCAGAAACTCCACAAAGTCAGGCAAGGCCTTTTCCAACAGGGTGGGGAAACAGTCTCCCCGCCAGGCAAAACCCGCCTTGATAGCAAAAGTCTTCCGGAGAAAGACGACCTCCCAGCGTGAGGGAATGACTCCCCACAAGAAACCCTGGTGTCTGCCTTCTGAGCTCTAACCCCAGAGGCCTCAACCCTGGCTTCTGCTTACACTGCTCCAGTCCACTCTGCCCTCCCTCTGCTGCAGCACAGGCTGAGTGCCTGCACACGAAACTTTGTGTGTTGGCCCTTTAAGAGGGTGCGTGCATTTCCAGCCATCTCTCCTGACAGACAGCAACCTGCTGCTTTTCCGATGGTACGTGGGCACAGGTCTCAGCTCTGGGGCTCTCTGCTGGGGTGCCCAGCTGGGGTTATGACCCAGAGTTCTCAGGGGGAATCCTCCACAGATGAGATCTCTCTCTCTGAAACTTCAGCTGCTGTCTGTGGGAGCCCCGCCAGCCCTTTCGCAATTCCATCCTTCCTTCCAGCCTCTATGCGGTCCGCACATTCTGTCCTTGGTTCTCACTGAGCTCCAGCTAGTCTTCCGTGGGCTAGTCAGGATGTCTTTTTGTATTTTAGTTGTACTTCCAGTTTGGTCAGGAGTATGTCTGTGTACCCTCCCTTTACACTGTGGCCATTTTTAATCTGCCGTCTTTTGGACATTCTGACACCAAAACCCTAGCAAGGAATTAGGTTCAATAGCGCCCTCTTCTAGGCATTTAGAGACCACCACCCTAGCAAGGGATTAGGCTCTACGGTGACCTCTTCTGAGGATTTAGCTAACAGCACCCTCGTAAAGGTCTAAATTCTGAGAACAGCACCTTATGATGATGTTAGATTCTATAGCGCCCTCTTGTGGCATTTAGGTAAAAGCACCCTTGTTAGAGGATTAGGCTCAATAGTATTCCCTTGTGTGCATTTTGAAAACGGCACTGTAGTAATGGGTTAAGCTCAATAGTGCCCTCTTATGTGCATTCTAGAAAAGAGCACCCTATTAGGGAATTAGTCTCAATAGCAC